AAAATTATAATGATTAGATTGATAAGATTCATGTCTTGTATAAAACGATTATTATTATTATTATTATTATTATTATTATTATTATTATTATTATTATTATTATTATTATTATTATTATTATTATGATGTTGAATAAAAAACTATGACTAGTATTATTGTTATATGCCCATCTCGATCAAAATTGCGACGTATAGGAAGAGAATAGCAAGAAACTGGTCCACATCTTGAACGTTTGAAGCTACAGCAGTGTTCCTTGACATAAAATCTGGACATATATTCTAGTATAAAATAAAGGTGGCGCATTATATATGAGTGGGCATATTACAAATATTCATTTTCAGCAAACTCCCACCTCTTCTTCTACTTTTCATAATCCAATTCATTAACTCCAGATTCAATATCAATTGTATGGGCCACATTTTCAAGGATATTAATGTATATACCACCAAATGAAACCTAAAGGATTAAAAAAAGCCTTACTTAAGGATACAGAGGAGAGAATAAGATTCTATGAATGGAGACTTCACATAAATTATCGTAACTTCAAATTTGAAATGGTATTCTAAACCAAGAAAGAGACGTGCAAAAGTTCATAAATTATCTTGAACGTGGAGTTACCTTGTTAAGGGGAACATTTTCCTTTCTTTTCCTTTTAATTATTTCTAATTGGACACCATTAAATATTGTAATTTTGTTAACTTGAGAATTTTTTTGAGGGAAGGTCGTAAAATGACGATAGGGAATTAGAGGTAACCTAGCTAGTAATAATACCTTTGAAAATGCATCATTTCTTACTAAATACTTGGTACCCAAGTTGTAAAATGTCAGATCCCTAACACATAAGATAGAGCTGAAGAAGACTTTTTCTAATTGGAATAAAGGTGACTGGGTGAGTATCAAATTTTAGCAAATGGAAATCTCTATATTTGAATTCTCGTAGTAAAATGACCACAGAAAATAGTTAGTAGAAGCAGTTTTCGGAAGAAAGCAAAACTTTTCGAACAATCCTATGAAAACCACAATAAATTTCAATTGAAAAATAAAGTATATATGGCTAGAATTTTGTGTACCTTAATATATATGATTTTTTTTATAAATCGACTAAAATATCATTGTCGTACGTATTGTTCTTGTAAGGACTAATATCCCATAAATTCAACTTTTTTTCTTTCTAAGTTGAAATATCTTCTTTCTCTAACTATTTAAATGTATCATTCCTTAAATGTCACGATTGATCTGACCAACTTGTATGTTAGAAAAGACAACTAAGAAATCGAATTTTATATGCCACAGTTCCTCTAACAGACTACCATAGGTAGAATTTCAACTTTGAAGAGAAGTATAGTTTTTACAATATCGAGGTATTTTCTTCTTTCAAGTTCAAGATATTGTTTTTTTCCTTCTTCTTTTTTCTAATTCTTTTTTTCAAGAACGTTCTAACATAATACTCAAATTAAGTACCATATCTAATAAATGAGTAATTAATAAAATATTCATATCTTTAACTATTTTTATTATTTTATGGAATGTCTATATAATAATAGTGTAAAATAAAGAAAAGATGAAGTCTTATTAAATAATAATTATATATGAATTATCGTTAAAAAAAACATGATAATTTTAACCTTAGTTACAAACCATCATATAACTAATATTTTAATGATGGTTCTTTTATAATTATTGTCATATCTAATATACAAGGATTATAAAATAATCATCGTCATATATTACATATAACGATAGTTAGATATAAGATTGTCATCATACATCTGGTTAAACTTTTTTAATTTGCTTATTTGTTCACTTCCCTCTTCATCTCCACTTCTCTTATATTTTTATTTCATTCCCTTCTCCTCATGTCCTTCATTATAACTCTCCTATTCTCCATTATAATTTGACTCCTCACTTTTTCATCTTCCTCTTTCTCTCATTGACAAAGTGTTTCACTTCATTATAAATTTTTTTGTCTCCCTTTGTCAATCGCGACAATGAAAGACAAGATTAGAGCGAGAAGGCAATTCAAATTACGCTAGGAAGGCTTTTGTTAGATTATTTAGAGGCGGAAGACAAATTGGAGAATGTTTTGTTAGGCGTATTGATGTTGTGCCACAAGAATGATAACAAGGAAGCAACTAGAACATTTAGGTTGCTATGGTAAGGCAACAAAGAAATAATAATGCATATTTGTAGGTTTGTTGGGTGTGTTGATGAAGTAATAATAAGAGCAATAAAACCTTTTAGGATTGTTGTGATATACAAACCAAAGTTTCTAAGTTTGTTCGGATAAAGAAACAAAAGCTTCTAGGTTTATTATGACAAAGCAACAAGGAGATTTTGATATATGACGATGATTATATTTATAATCATCGTTATATTGGTAACTTATAATAATGTTTTGAAATTGTCATCAATTTCTTAATTTTTAATGACAATTCTAATATAATGACGATTTAAAAAACATCATTATATTCTTTTTTTTAATCATTATTAAATAGGTTATATGTAGTAGTGATTCAATGAATCTAAGTCATATGGCCTAAACGTTCTTAAGTCCAATAGGTATGATGTCATAACCATAGTTCATAAATTTTGTGATGAATGTGATCTTCTCAATATCTTAGGGATTCGTATGGATATATATGCAATGCAATATGGGAATCTCATCATCTTATTCATTAACAAATCGATAAAGGATATACATCTTTTAGGCAAACCTTGGAGATACTTATAGTCACTCCACATTCATTATTTGTCAATCCCTTTCTTTACCATGACCATGTTTGCTAGCCAATTTATATACTAGACGTCTCAAATGAATCATGCAACCAACAACTTGTTGACTTCTTGCATAGCTACCACTCTCTTTAACCATCTTTCACTTCTTTTCAACTAATAATCATGCTTCTTTACTCAAGGTTCAATCCTAGGCATATAAATAGTTCATCATTTTTTTTCAAAATGTTTGTTTGATGAGGTCCTTATTTGATGGTAATAAGGACGATTTGAGCCTTGTGTTTTGACCTTCTACTCTAAGTTAAAAAAGAGTTATTTGTCCATGAGATTCTACTTGACATCATCATTTATTTATGGGATTCTTAAATTTTTAACCATTGTTAGAGGTGTGACTTTCAAGCTTATTGCATAAACTCCTTAATAATTCACTGATAAACAAGAACTGAGTTTTGCCTCCAATGATTGATGAGAATTTCATTACAATGTGAGAGGTAAAAATTATTGCACCTAATTAAGGTATTTTATGGAGGCATCCTCATAAGAATATTATAGGAATTATTTGTGTTTATTATTAGATAACACACCATGATTATGCGATAATTGGTGCTTTATGTTGAAGAACACAAATGCACTTTCTCACACATAGAAAAAATTACAAGACAAAATAAATAATAAGAATACAAAAAATTTATGTCGTTCAGACAGAATAATTGCGCTTGAAAGTTTTCCAATACAAAATATCAATCAAACATCCCTAGTCTATCCGCATCTTCGTGAAGGTAAAATTTCCTACTTCAATTATGATTAGCATTGAATCATCTTAATGAGATCAATCATCTTGAAATAAACATTAAAGAAAGTAATTAGAATCATTTTGAATTAGTGTAAGTTCCTCTTCCTAGCTAAGTTGGAGGTGTCTCCACAACAAATCCTCATGTTAGACTTGATCAATCTAGAGGATCATAATTCCTTTATAAGACTAGATTATATTTAATGGTTTTGATGCATAAAAAATATAATTATTTTTTATATATTTAATGATCATGAAAGACTTAAAAATTAGTGTTATCAACTAGTTTATCATGTCTCAACTGATATTTATCTTCAACTCATCTCGTACCATGTCAACTATATTATTTATCTTATATCAATGCTACACAAGATTATTTTGTCTCTACATCGTTGATGCACACTAAAAATCTAATGTTTAAATATCAAATCAGCATAAATTGCAAGGAAGATATTACAAGTCAAACATTCCTTATGTATTTTTTTTATATGATTTTGTTACCCTTAAAAAATAAAAATAAAAACACTGTCTAGAAATTCTTTAAACTTACATTTTTGTTATTATTATGAATCTCTACTTTTTAACCTCTCTTCTTCGATTTTCAACTTGTCACTATCGTCGCTTCCACGTATTGTCAAGAGTCTCTTCATGTACTGCTAGCGTCACATGCCGTGAACCCCTCCCACGTAACTCACGTACTATTTACCTCTCCTATGCAACACCAACTTCCATAACATCGATACCACCAATGCCTCCTCAAGATTTTTATATATATTTGAATATAATTAATTAATTTGTATCAGATGAAGATTGTCTAAATCATCATCGTTAAATTAAATAAATATAAATAATATATGCATTAACATATTTAACTATTTATAATATTTCAATTTACTTCAATCATAAGTGCAATACAGTCTTTAATATGATTAAGTTTTTAACTTAATTAACTTTGAATCCTACCCGAGGTCGTCCGAAAGTCTTCCACAAAATTATACGCGTATGCCGATAATATGAGAACATACTTACCCTACAAGGTACACTAACATTCTTTATAATATTACTTTTTTTATAGCACTTCTTTTCTTATTAGTTAAAATTTTTAAAATCATAAATAAATTATTTAAAATAAATAAGACTGGTGTGGTCCATATAATTTCATAATTAAATTAAGTTTTAACTCACAATAAAAATATATTTAAATAAATGTTAGAAAATATACTAATTCCTTTTTTTTTCTCTCCAATAAACTTGGATTGACCTGGGCAAGAAAAGGGTATGACCACCTGTTCAGTTTATCGCAGAAAACATCATCGTACACTTAGAGAATCCACCCGGCACAAGTGATGTAAAAAATGAAGAATCGATTGATGGGACAGGAGCAAAAGCAGATGCTATGGAGGAAATATATATATAGGGATATTATCATGTATGCATTACTACGCAGAACACCAAACAAGCATATATCTTCGAAATCATGGCACGAGAGGACCCTCTTGCTATTGGGGGTGTGATTGGGGATGTTCTCAACCCTTTTACAAGCTCAGTTTCTCTGACGGTTTCCATCAACAACAGAGGGATTAGCAATGGCTATGAACTCAGGCCCTCTCATGTTGTTAACCGCCCTAGAGTTACTGTTGGTGGTGAAGACCTAAGGACCTTCTACACACTGGTAAGTAGTGCTAATTGATGAGTACAAAGTATCAATTAATTATGTTATTAACAGCTAGCTGCATGTTTTTTCTGCATAAAATTTTATGGTTGAATCCCAGGTAATGGTGGATGCAGATGCACCTAGCCCTAGTAACCCCGTCTTGAGGGAATACCTGCACTGGTTAGTAGTATCTTTTCTTCTTTATCCCAATTTCTATCTGGTTTTGGTATCAAAACAGGTGAAATGCAAATATTTGGTCGAATATTTATGTTTTATATTATGTCTAATAAAGTCTATACTGATTTTATAAAAAACAAAATTGTGACTTATTTATTGATATATATTTGTTTATAATCTTCTCTCTTTAACAATGCTAGGATGGTGACAGATATTCCAGCAACCACAAATGCAAGCTTTGGTATGTGCAAATATTCTATGTACTGTTCATGCCAATATATAAAACTTATTTTAAACCTAGCTCCATTCATGAACTTAATTTATAATTTAATTCCCTGTAGCTAAAGATAATAGAATATAATTTTGTTAAAGCTTATTTTTATATATTTTAATCAGATTAATTGATAATTAAACTTATGATATATGACTTTCAAATATATATCTTTAATCTTTGTGAGATTAATTTGAGGCAAATTTTTATTACTAATTAAGAGAAATAAACTGATATAGGTTTTGATGTATATGGAGGTGTGTATCTCTTAATGAAACAAATTTAAACATTAAACAAACTGATATAGGTTTTGAATTTATAGGTTTGTAAACAATACGCAAATGATGATGATTTTATTCATTAATTGTTGGTGTTTACAAAATGACATCATGGGACATTATATGCAGGGAGAGAGGTTGTGGTTTATGAGAGTCCACAACCTTCAGCAGGGATTCATCGACTTGTGTTTGTATTGTTCCAGCAATTGGGCAGAGACACTGTAATCACCCCACAATTGCGTCACAATTTCAATTCCAGAAACTTTGCTGAGAATAATAACCTCGCACCTGTTGCAGCAGCTTATGTCAACTGCCAAAGAGAGCGAGGTTGCGGTGGAAGGAGATACTAAGTTCGATCACCATTTTGGATACCTCTACTCTTGCTGATACTTACTATCTTAAAAATAATATAAGTTATAAGGGTTAGAAGTAAATAAATCAAATCTCTCTTCTTTTTAAATAATTTGGAGAAGGTTACCATCTCTTAATGCTACAACATGGTCTCATTCAGAAACTTCAACAGATTATGGCTGCAACAGAAGAAAGAAACAGAAAAAAGGTTTATGCATGGCTCATACGTACTGAGATCTGATCCAGTTATATTATAATGTATCAACTGTCATTCGTTTTCAATAAAATTACCTACATACGTTATTACTACCATTTTATCTTTTTATGTTATATATATTATATTTCTGTTAGAATCTGAAGTTGAATAAGAACAAATTTATTACTTAAGATTTTAGCTTGATATGATTATCTTACTTTCTTTAATTAAATTCAATACTCCTTTTAATTATTTAATATATATATATATAAAAAAAATAATTGTGTAGTTACAAGATATTCTCTCCAAATAAATGTAGTTTGAGAGTTTAAATTTTTAATATTATATGCAAAACTCAATATTCTCTTTAATCTACTATTAATGTAATCGAATAGGAGCTTCTATACGGCTTTAATTTCCATTAAGAAAATGGGAGCTTGAGTGAATCAAAGTAAAATTGAGTAAACTACAGTTTTAACCCTACATAATAAGTTTCTAACCTATCAATCAATTGTATTAGTTAATTTTAGAGACTTAATATATAAAAGAATTTCAAAATTAAAAATTTATCTTAAACTTATTTAGTTTCATGGGGTTAATGTTACAGTGTCTTGATTATTGTTATTTTTGTTCGTTAATAATTTCTACAAATATGCTATTTAAAATTAAGATATTAATTTGTACTATCAAATAGAGTTAGTTCAACTCATATCCAATAACAAATGACGTCTCAAGAGTTATTATTTAGAAAACAGGCTATTTATAGACATTTTCTCGTAGACATAATCTATAGAAATTTTTTCATTTATTAATCGATCCAAAATTTTCATTGATTAGTACGTGAGACTAATTCTCATGAAATTTTTCTCACTCAAAAAATTCGTAAACAATTGTTATTTTTTTATTATTTTATTGTAAGTTAAAATTATAACTTAATTTTCAATAATTTTGATGAAATCTATTGTAACTCAAATAATGACATAAAATTTTTAATGAAAATTTTAAATCATTTAAAAAAAGTTAAAATACATAAATTAAATCATATAATTATTTTGTTGTAATTTATTTTTTTATCATCTTGTTCATTTATTTATTTATTTATTTATTTATTATTATTATTATTATTATTATTATTATTATTATTATTATTATTGTTGTTGTTGTTGTTATCAATGCATTATTGTTGAAAAAATATTTTAATTGTTTATAATGGTGTAGGAGTAAGATATGGAAAAAACAATTATTAATAAATATATGAAAATTAAAATTATTTTTTTAATATGATAATTTGTTCTAAATGACGGATTAACTAACTGTAGATGTATATGGTTGAGTATAATGTCCTCTCAACCAATATAAACACGATGGAGATGATGAAATTCACAATGAAGTAAGAGAAGTAATCCATCGTCCATTAAAATTAGAAATTTTCCATACCTGCAAAACGGGTAAGACTGATTTGACTTTTTCTTTTTCAGCTCTAAATGAATCTCAACGTTCTTGCGACAAAGCAATGACGTGTGGTTACAGCTAAAAAAATATGTGGTCCTTCAACCAGACATGATCGACACATGGTGATCATTAGTTACTCAACCAGGAGGTTGTCATGCGTTATTCCCACTGTTATCCTTCCTCTACAATTCTTTTTTTTTCGTCAATATAGTCTCTTCTTCTAATTCTCACTCTCGTCCTTTTTTACTTATCAAGATTCTCCCTCTTTCCTCTCTTTCATACCAGTTCTTTTCCTCTCGTCTTCTATCTCAAAACTTTGTATCTCAAAACTTTGTAATTAACTTATTTACTATTGCATCCAAATATAAGCAAAATAATTAATTTTATATGAATTAAGAAAATCATTAGCATCACCTAATTTTACTAATCTCATTAAAATTTTATATGATGAATAAATTATTTATTTATTTTTACCACCAAGAATAAACTTTTTCCATATTTTTGCAATCAAACCAATTCAATTTTTCTTTAATAATTTATGATATATATATATATATATATATATATATTTAAAATTTTACTAATTTTTAATATGTGAATTTTTTTAATAATTTTAATTATATATTAATATTTTAAAAATATATTTTAATTATTTTAATCTCTATTTTATTTTTAATTTATATTTACTTATATTAAATTTTAATAAGAGTATTTTAATAATTTATTATATGTTTTATTCTATTAAATCAATTACAAAATTCTTATTTATTTATTCTTAATTTTTATCTTTTTTTACTTCCATACAAACAACTTCACTTTTATTTTATTTCTTATTTCGTTTTTTTTTTCATTTCCACTTTCTCCCTAATCCAAATAAATCACTTTTGAATTCTCCAAAATTAAATTTTTCATTTATGAATAAACCAATTTTAGTTAATAGAGAAATTTATTTCACTTTTTCTTGTTATTTTCTTCTACTAAGAATACTTATAAAAAAAAAATCAAGCAAACATTTATAATTAATTTAAAATACAATTTTATCATCTCCTCAATGAGTGTAAAATGCAAAATTATCGAACTCGTATTTTGTTTAGTAAGGATATAAGAGAAATAAGTTGAATGAAAATAAAAACAGACAAGTGACAATAAGGGAAAAATAAAAGAAAACTTAAAAGGATTTAGTTCAAAATAAATAATGAAGAGAAAGAGTAAGAGAAGAATAAAAGTAGTTCTATTGATCCCATCATTTTTTAGACTTATTTTTTCTCTATTTCTCTCGTACCAACCTACGTTAAATTCAACCAAACACAAAGTTAGGTAGCCACTAACTGAAAACCCTTCCTATAGTAATTAATAAATAGACGGGGGAGTCTTTATTGCACTTAAAAAAATCAAAACTTAACAAGAAACTCACCATCGCAAAACTATAGTGGACTGTTTTGAGTATCAGTTGTACCAATTAAAATCATGCTGGACTCCCTAGGAGAACCAAATCAAATATAAATGACTGAAGTTATGTTATTCCATATTTTTTTCAACCTAGAAACAACAGAGACAACAAGTTCAGATATTGTCAAGCCCAATCAACTGGTCTTTGGATCAGGCATGGGAAAGAGGCCAGCACTAGCACCTCTGGGCGGTGCAAAACCCAAGAACTTCTGCAAATTTGTTCTGATGCTAATGGAGCACAAGAAGTATAGAAATGCCATGGAACAATCAGTGGGATCATTACCCTGCAAACCGCGATGGCTCATCTTCATAATAAGCCCAAAAGGTTTGAAGGGCAATTTGGCAACTATCTTGCCTTCGAAGAGTGAATTCAGCAACCCAAAGACTACAAAGAGAACCAGAGCCACCACACCCCCAGACTTGAACTTGAAGAGAGACAGATCACGACTCGATTCTTTGAGGCTTGTCTCAACACGATCGATCTTTTTGGTCTTGGACTTCTTGATGTTGATTTTATTGCTGTCTGTTTTCATAGTCTCAAGTTTCTTGGAGGCTTTGTCAATAGAGGACCGAAGGTTTTTGTAAGAATTGGTCCGATAGATAAGAACCCATGAGATAGCCTCACAAACAATAGCTGTGCAGAAGGAGATACCCACTACAGTGAGGCCATCAGAGTACTTGAAATCTGAGAAAGGATATGCCATGGGAAGACTGTAACTAAAATCTACGACAAAAAGAGATGGAAAACTCGGGTCTTAATCGGAAATGTTTAAAGGTCCAAATCCTGTAAAAATACACAAACATTTAATCACACTTTATAATGACTTATCCATCAAGTACAGAGCAAATTACATTCACCTTCCCCAAAGAAATGCTTAAATACACTCACCTCCCTACTCTTTTGCAAATAACACTTCTCTCTATAATGAGATCATTATATATTATGCTTTAGTTTGTTTTAGTATGAACAAGCCTCGTGGCATATTTTCTCTATCTCGCTGACATACAGCATCACTAGCAGCTAGTTTTAAATACTTATTATCAACTTTGAAAATTTAGAAGTTGGAATGAAGATTTTGGGAAAAATTAGGAAGACATCCGAAATCTTGAAATTTGATAATAGGATATTTAAAATAACCTAGAGGCAGTGTTGTTAAAATGCGGTCATGGCAACACATGATGGATTGTGGTGGTAGATTTCTCACATACCGGTTTGAAATTGGAAAAGCTATTGTCCATCAACACCACAAACCAATAAAAATCATGAATATATAGCCTTTGACGAGAGAAAAAAAAGTAGCAGAAGCAACTTAGCTAATCGGTTCTTATAACGTAATATATAGCATAAGAATGAAATAAGAATAATATAAAATTACAAAAATGCCAATTATTTCCAATTTACTATACTATTCATCACAGATTAACATGACCCTGATTTATTTCAGTATTTGTTTTATGTTTGAACCAAGGTTGATAGCACCTTTAGTTTAAAATGGGAGCAAATTTGGTCCCCCCAAGTTGTTTACAAGCCAATTATGTCCCAGTGTTTTTAAAAGTAAGTTAGGCCTCCTGTCAGTTTTCTTTCATCTGAAACCCACAAATTAACAATTTGTAACTATATATTTGGGGGTTTATGATGGATCAGGGATATGAAATCATTTAAGAAGTTTAGAAGCAAGAACTTTAGTGAAAATTTTATAAAATCTGGAGGATTTATGTGATACTAGGTTAGAAGAAGAGAAAAATTGAGGTTTTTCATTTTGTTTTCGGTGAAATATAATGTTTTAGTGGGTGAATTAAATTTTAGCAGTAGGTTTGAAAAAATTAAATTGTAAGGATTTAGTGTAAAAGCATGACAATTTGACAGTTTTAGGTAGAAAATTTTTGTAGAAGGAGCAAATTAGCTTGATTTTAAAAATAGTGGGACTTAATTAGCCCATAAAAACTTATGAGACCAATAAGAAATATCATCAAAGAGCTAGGCTAACAAGCTCAGCCTTCTTGCAGTTCGGGGGGCTTATTATAGAACTTAAAAAGGGTAAATTGCAGAAACAAAAAGCTAAAACGGAAGAATTTCTTTGAATATAAGATTCCTACAACTCATCCATAGGCAGCTACTTTTATCAAATTTTCACACCTCTGCTTAACAAAACAGACAGCAAAGAAAATGTGACGGGTAAAAAGAACCAACAGCAAATTAGGACTATCTCTTTACTACTTTTCAGTCAAATATTAAATGCAGAAACAAATTTGCTAACAAATAAGATCAAGGTTAACATTTCAATGACCAGATTTCCACCATATAAACATGCCCTAGCCGCTTCCACCATAAGCAGTCTAGCTTCACCAATTATCTATAGCAATTGGCAAAACATTCTACATGCCATCCATGGCACCACTATTTAACAACATTGCAATGTAATTAATAAAAGTAAAAAATTTGAGTTTTCTAAGATACTAATCAATTAAATTCATTAAATTCCCAATTTATTAATCAAGAAAAAGCATCAGTGTTTTACAACAAAAGAACAAGATTGCTTTACCTGACCAAGCATAGCAGCTTCCTTCAAGTCTAAGGTTTCAACAGAAATCCTGCAAATTCAGAAAGAAAGGAAGGTAAATGATGTAAGTTACATCAAATAGGATAAGAAAAATTCTATAATCTAAAAGAAAACAGATCACACCACACTCCATGCAACCAGATTCCCATTATCCATTCCTTCAATTTCAATGAAAAAAGTCAACGAATTTTAGAGTTCTGCGAGTAAATTTATATTTTAATGTTAGGAAAGAAGCAACACAAACTAACACATATTTTCAGTAATTATTGAGCTCACAATTTTCACTATTTAAGAATGCATACTGCTCAACTAATCAAAAAGTGAGAAATTTCAAACAAATTCAGAAAAACAACACAGCAGCATAAAACAATAATAACTTACCCTCTACTTCATCAACTAACAAACAAATCAAATCGTGTTACCCCTATTATGCTCAGTGAAATTTCTCAAAACAGCATAGTAAGTTTGCCTCTACTGTTTATCAAGATAGTATAATGAGCAATCATTTGCTGACAATTTGGGAGAAGATTCAAAAGTTTGAAAATAGTAACTCCCAATAGCATAATTTTAAAGGGGAAAAAAATAGAATAAAATTTGAAGGAAAAAAAAAATTGTCTCTTTTTTTCTGATTTGGTCGAGCAAATCCTAATTAGATCCACCGTGAAGGACGGAAAACAACCACACACATAAATAAAAGATTAAAAAAAATGTTCTTTATCTGAAATGCCTGATTAGTGTGGTTATTTTTTCAAATTATATAGCAAAACACATTCATAAAGCACTACATACTAGATCAGTGTTTTGTTATTGGATCTGTTGCTTAGAAATTGTGGAGGTAACTTCTCTTTTACCTATCTATCCCGCGATACCGGCCACAGTTGGAAGTCGCACACGGTTGGAGGGTTTGCCGGCTGTGGTGTCGATTCTGGCTCTAGAATTCCGTTCTTCGCTGTAAAAACAAATTAAATCAGAATGCAACTTTCACAGGTCAAAAAGCTTCATTTATCGTCGCGTTTTCGTCTTAGAACTGTTTGGCCCATTCAGCCCACTTCTATTCATTGGGCCTATTCACATCTCAATCAAAGGCACACTTCCTCGGTAAATTTTGTCAACAAATTTTGAAAAATTAAATATATTTTATTCTTATTAATATTTAATTATTATGTAGATGAAAAACTTAATATGTTTTTATATATAAATTTAAAAATACGTTAAAATCACCGGAATACTATAACTTTTAAATTTTATTTTCCATGTAAATATTTGTGTTGATTAAATTAGTGAAATAAAGAGCTTTGTTTCTAACTTGTCAAATAATTATTTTGGTTCTAATAATATATTTATAATAAATTATTATATTTTTATGAAAGTGGTATATATATTTTTAAATGTAAAGTTCAATACATTACTATAGAAGGATATGTTATGTAAAAAAATAATTATCATAAATGAATACTATAATTTAAAAATAATAAATATAATTATATAATAAAAGTTTATTTATCTTTCTATATAATAAATGTTGCTATCTATAATATGTATTAAAACAACATCTTTAAATCTTGATATGAATGTAATAAATTTGGAATATGATGGTATTAACAACACTATTTAATGGAATGTTTATAAATTACCAAAATTATGTTAATCCTCTAAATTAAGTCAATTCAAATATGAAATAATTAATGTAGAAAATAATAATATTTGATTAATATGTATTATCTTTATGCATCTCATCTCAATAAAATATAAAGCATTAACATTTTTTTAATTTCTAAGTAGCCCTTTTTTCTACTTACATAATTAATGTGTTATAAAGAGCTTCATGTAAAGGATACTGTGCCTATAAGTGAGAAACTAGATAAATCATATGAATTTTATTTTTAATTAGATGGAAAAAAACATTTTAAAATTTTATCCATTAAAAATTGTTTTGTTTTTAAATTTTTCATTAATATATGTACATCCAATCCATCCATAAAAATCATATTTTAAAAAAAATTTTAAGAATTATAATAAATTAAAAATATAAATTTTATAATTTTTTAAAAATATATAAGAGATACTCAATTATGAAAAAATGATTAAATTAATTTTTGTTCATTTTATGCTAATAAAAAAATCATTTTATATCTGTAACTTAAAATTGCATTTGTTGTAAAGGGAGATCAAGTAAGGAAATATACGGGTATATAATTTATAAAATTTTGGGATTATATTTTTTATTTTCTCAAAAATATAATATTGTGCATAATAATATCATACCTTTAAATAAGTAAAAAAAAAAATATTCAGCTCTAGATATAAGGTTGTTTTATAAGTATGAATTGACACTGACTTAAAAGTTTTTAGATAATGAGTCAAATGGTTCATCGATCAAGCAAAGAATTTCTATCACCAAAGCGTATTTCATGTATGAATAAGTGAACACACTAAAGAAATGGAAAGATGTGATTAAATTTTTCAATTTAAAAAAAGATTATTTGTAAAGTTATTTGTTATTTTATTTGTCGACTTAAGTTATTATTTTTATTGCATTCTAAGGGTGATCACAGCTAATAAATAATTTATTTGCTGAAAAATTTTATGCATAAATTTATCTGAAAATATATTTGCAATTTTTTAAAATAATAATTCACAAAAATAGTTGTGTATTTTCTATAAAAAATATTTATAGGAAATAGTTATGATTTTTGCTTCTTTTTTTTAATTCTGCAATTTTTTTTATAAATATCTAATTACATATATTTTTTTAAATACATTTTTTTTAAATTGATAGGAAGTTAAAATTATTTTTTACCATCCTTTATGTAAATATAAATTTTTAAGAAGAAGCTCAATAATACTAACGTAAATGGTAGGAGAAATCATAGATAATTTTTATTATAAATTTTCTTATAAAATATTTTTTATAGGAAAATATAATATAATTTTTTTTAGTTTATTATTTTTTAAATAATTAAAATAATCTATTTAATAAAATACTATTTTATTAAATTAATTATAACAATTTTGTTCAATAAATTAAATCAATAATTAATTATAAATTAAAATATAATTATAGTCTTTTTTCTAAATTTTATATTTAAAAATATAATAAAATCTTATTTTTATTAAGTATTAATATTATAATTATTTTGCAT